GGTGGGCTGACCCAGGCCTGGACACCTTGCAGGTTAAGTAAGAGTGTGAGTAGAGACCAAGGTGGTTGTCCAAGGGCCCAGGCACCAATGTGATGGGACCATAGGCCTTGGAAAGAACCACCAGTGTGGGAGACGTGGAATGTACAGAAGCTATCAGTTTGTAATTTAAAAGGAAAAAACAAGAATTTTGCAGAAGCTGGGGCTCCTGTCCCAGAAGTGTGTATCTGCAGAGCGGGGCACTGCACTCCACGGGACCTGCTCGTGGCCCGGTGGGGGGTTAGTGCTCCCCTGGGACTTCATGAACCCTGACTGGGCCCTTCCTGGGGCTGCACTGCCTTCCTGGCCCCTTGCGGCCCCCTGGTTGCCTCTAAAGTGCCTGCTGCCCTTCTCCACCGTGTTCACTCCCATGGGGTCGTGCTAGGTGCAGGCAGTGCGTCACGGTGGGCTCGTGCTTCCACCTACCCCCAGACTGTGTCTTCGTGGACAGCAATGTGGTCTGTGTCCCCCAGGCCCAGCAGTGGGTCTCATGGTGGGGGTGCCCATACCCTGCTCAGAATTTCAGGGGGCCTCACAACCCCAAGATGGAAACTTTCTCCTGAGCTCTAGGGGCTTCAGGCTGCAGGCCCGGCCCTTGTCCTCTGTACCTATAGCACTGCCTGACAAGCAGCCCCGCTTGGGGTCCAGGGCCCACAGGAGCTGAGCCAGCCAGGGCCCTGGCAGCACACACACTCTCCCCCCAAGGACCGCAACTGGTACAGGGCCCATCGTCTTTTCAGGTTCAGAGGTTAGGAGGGGTCAGGGATGGTTGTTCCCCAGGGGCCTCAACACAGTTTCTTCTTTTGGGCTTAACATGGTGGGCCCCAAGGGACCTGTCAAGGATTTCATTTTACTTGGCTGTACAATCAATGCCCATGGAAGAAATCAAATGATATATTGCATTGGGCAAATCTGCTGCAAAAGACCTCTTAAAAGTGTTAAAGAGCAAAGATGTCACTTTGAAGACTATGGTGCACCTGACCAAAGCCCCA